AAAACAAAGGTAAACTGGCTACTCGTACTAATAAATATTAAAAGGCAGAACAGGTAAAACAAGAACGCAAAACAATCAGGAAATCATAACGCAGCTGTTGGGTAAGTTCAGAGTAAAAACTAATAACAACACTTGGTGTTTGCCAAGGAATCATGCTGAGCGTGATGTGTAAATGAGTGACCCTAGTGTTCCTCAGATTCATTTCTTAGTCAAATTGGTGTCCATGGCAACTTCCCTGTTTTGTGTGCTTATTCAAAATGAGACGGTGTGACTTAAGTGACAACAACCTATTACTGCTGGACGAAAAGAGCATGTTATTTGGTACATAAACTCTATTGACAAAAACACGTGTTATTTATTAGCATTAATGTCTTTGCTTAAATGTTAAAGCCTTCTTTTCTTCTAGCTTCACGTTCATGCACATAGGAGTTTAAGCGGATCTGAAATCTTAGCTCAGCGCTGGGCAAACCATTTTGCCCACAAGAAATGACCGGACACGTGACCATTTAAAGGAATTACAAGTATAAAATTAAGCCTGTAGTAGTTTACACACCGTTCTCTACTTCACCAATCATTCTCTTGGTTTTGTAGCATTCTTGGGTTCTAGTGGTTCCTTGGTTAGTGACTCATATGTTCGGATTTTGTCTGGACCTCAGGGTGCCTCTGATTAGTGCCTGTGATCTGGCCACTGCTTTGAATAAAGAGATGCTGCAAATGCTTCTTACTAAGCAATAGGGTGGCTTCGTAGCCTGGCAGCCGGAGAAACACTGTCGTTTTAACTCAAATGATGACACTAGTATACGTGATGTATGTATGTGAATGTGTCACTGAATACACTGTGTGCACAATTGTGTATATTGTCACTCAGAACAGTGCAAGAAAAACTTCCCTGAGGGGACAATAAAGTACGGTATGTCTTAAAAAAAATCTTAATCTTATCCTATAGATTAGCAGGTTATGCTAATAAACTTGGCTCTTAAATCAGAATGTAGGTTGTTTCTAGGAAACAGACGGGTAGCAGAGTATTTCAGCGTATTATAATGATTATTACAGCTTTTTGGTTGAGATCGAAAAATATACAATTACATACAATTAAAAGAGATCTGTTTTCTACTTTGAAACACTAAAAACCCCTGCGTCTGTGCTGCACTGTCACTGCTATAAACACACCCTGTTGTGTTTTAGCTCATTAGTCAGATTGGCACCGAGTAGTTTTGTGCTGTAATGCTGAGGTAAACTGTAATTGCTACATCACTGCCACAGTTTCTTTAGATTAAAAAAAAAATCACATCACCTTCTATCCACTCACAAACATGTGCTCAGTTATCTCAGTTATCTCTCTTCACTCCCAGTGTGGTGTCCATGTTTTTGTGTATTTGACAGAACTGGTGATGCGGGGTACTAGTGTATCTATCTGGAAGGTTGGTCATATCAGGTGACACGGAGTCTGCTCCCCGCAGTCTCTCCACTGGTGTCCCACAAGGCTCAGTACTTGGTCCTCTCCTGTTCTCCCTCTATACTCGATCTCTTGGTGCGGTCATATCCTCACATGGGTTTTCATACCACTGCTATGCAGATGACAATCAACTCATCCTCTCCTTCCCTCCCTCAGACACTCATGTTTCTGCTCGGATATCAGCATGTCTGGCAGACATCTCATCATGGATGACTCAGCTCATCAGCTGAAACTTAATCCCAGCAAAACTGAACTGCTGTTCATCCCGGGCGATTCATCCCCATCTCAGGATCTTGCAATCTCCCTAGACAATTCTCTGATCTCGCCTTCGGTTACTGCACGCAACCTTGGGGTAACCATGGACAATCAGCTGTCCTTCTGCTCTCACATTGCTAATCTGACACACTCATGTCGATCAGAAGAATTCATCCATTTCTTTCCACACAGGCCACACAGGCGCTTGTTCAGTCCCTTGTCATTTCGAGACTGGACTAGTGCAACTCACTCCTGGCAGGTCTGCCTCTGAGCGCCATTCGTCCTCTGCAACTGATCCAGAATGCAGCTGCACGATTGGTTTTCCTAAGTTCTCCCACACCACCCCATTGCTACGCTCACTCCACTGGCTTCCTGTAGCTGCCCGCATCAGATTTAAAACACTGATGCTCGCCTACAAAGCCAAAAACGGACCAGCACCCACTTATCTCAAAGCTCTTATCACACCTCGCGTGGCACCACACTCGCTCCGGTCCTCTAGCACTGCTCGACTGGTCCCACCATCTCTCAGGGCACAAGGAAGACCTGCATCAACACTCTTCTCTGCTCTGGCACCAGGTGGTGGAATGAACTTCCCCAAGATGTCCACCAGCTGAGTCACTGGCAGTCTTCAAACGACGTCTAATGACTTACCTCTTCATAAAGTACTTAAGTTAGCACTTCTGAAAAAAAAAAAAAATGACCTCCCCAACAGAGTTTTGGACTGATGGTATTCCTAGTTTGTGACCTAGTGAGCCAATATCAGAATATATTTTCTGCCAAATGCCATAAATGTAAATGTACTACATGCCAATATATTTTGTAAGTTTGAACATCAAAAAGGTTGTATGTTTGAAGAAATGAGGCAACCGGTCATATATGGACAGTTTATTAGGGAATAAATTATGGAGAAGTGTGCATAAGGTGTCTCAACAGAGGGCACTGAAAAACATTTAGGATTCAACAGTGGGCCAGGGCTGCTAGATGGTAAAAGTAGCTTTGAAAAGGTACGCCTATTCTTAGCACTAAAAATAAAAGCTGTGTTTTAAAAGGACTTTAGTTTCTCTCCAGAACATTTAAGAAGGCCTCTTCCACCCAAGGTGAACATACGGATGATGAACATTTAGCGATCTCTGTACAGCATTTCAACAGAACTTTATACACTCCTCGGCAGTGAGCAAAATACCTGGATCCTAGGCATTAATTGTCTCAGCAAACACTTGCCAAACCCTTTTCTTATGATAAGTGATTATTCATTCATTCATCTCCAGTAACTGTTTTATCCTGAGGAGGGTCATGGTGGGATCTGGAGCCTATCCCGGCAAGGTGGGAGAATTCTCCACAGATGATAGGAGAATCGCAGAGCACCGTTTCAGCATAGAAAATCCATCTACCTGCATGTTTTCTGGACACTGGAATCCAGAGAACCTGGAGGAAACCTATGCAAACATGAGGGCAAGCTCCACACAGAGCGTAACCTGTAATCTCCTTCTTCGAGCCGGTAGCAAGCATGCTCAGAGCTATTACCTGAACTTAAGATGGCACACCGAACACCATATCAAAGTGGCATTGTCATTAATTCATGTAAAATGCTAAACTGTAGTCATATATTTCGCACAACTATTGTCAGGAAAGGATTTTAGAGCTTTGAGTCATGACTGACTGAGCTACTGTTTGTTAGCTAGCTGACACTGGTAATGTAAGTATAAGTAATGTAATGTTGAGACTGTTTATCTCCTGTTGCGATACATGCAGTATTTCTCATTGACATGCTGTCTTGCGCAAATGAAACACCAAAAATCATGTAAATGCCCTTCTCAGTTTTATTTTTAAGTTTTAGAAAAAAGTTTTTTTTAACAGCAACAGCTGTTTATTTATGAAGTTTAATCAGTTGGTATAACGCAAATGGAAATCACAAATATGAAATAATAATCGAGTGAGTATTCCTTTAATGTAATAAATCATTTCTGGTTCTTAAATTAGATCATGCGTTAAAGATACATTGAACAATGAAAGACATGGAATCGACTCAAGTCAAGTCATAGACGTCACGTGGATGGTACGCTCTATTTGCATGGGCAGTGACAGCTGTGCTGTAAGATGCCTTATTTGTCAGTGAACTTAAAGGTTTCCGTGTTGCTTGACGGTACATGTGAAGAACAAGCAGTTGTCGATACATGGTACACATCTGTAAATGTAAACACATTTTTTTTTTTTATTTGAAAAAAACAGAAGGTTGTTAAGACATTGAGAACGTGTGCTTAATGCTCAGTGACATAAAGCAATACACAAGCTATGTGAGAAAGATTTGGCACAACAGAAATTATTCGTAAAATAAAGCAGAAACAGTAATATGCCTAGCCAATTAGAGCTTCATTTGCGAATGAATGTTACTTACATCTCCTTGGGAATATGTGGTGGAAACCCTTTACATTAGAAGGTGATGAGCCTTCAATGATGCTCTGAAACGTGAAAGTAGTGTACAAGTTACTGACTGTGTAAGGTTACGTAACTCAAATGTTATGTAATCGAGAAAGTGTTATGTTAAAAGTGTCTATTTGTCAGTGCAGCTTTAAGATAAAAGGCCACACAGAGAATTGGAGTGAACTGGAGTGAAAGTGTGTTTACCCCAGTACGGTTAGAGCTAATGTTCTTCCGCTTCCACCTTCCTAGAAGCACCCCAAAAATCTACAGAAACAAAACAATAAATCATTTCAAAGGATAATGTCATTCAGTGCCGTTTAGATAAACTGCCATTTACATTTAGATTGTTAAAAAAAATGACCTTCGAATTGACCTAAACGTGAATCCTCTACATTATACTGTTCAGACTATAACTGTTCAGATATAAACCTCATATGAAGAGAAATCCATTATTCTGAGGTGAACAAAGATTTAAGTGTCATGAATTATTTACTCCTTTAAGGTTCTCTGAAGGTTCACTGCTTTTCCTCTGCAGGAGCCCTTAAAGAGCGTCAGAAATCAGAAAGTATTTCTGATTTTTTCTGGATGCCATGAACCCTTAAAGAACCTTTTTTCTAAGAGTGAAGAGACTTTAAACCCAAAAACAGTTCTTGTGTTTACTGTGTTTTTGGTTCCTACAGGTACACTAAAGACTGCACCCAAACCACTGACAGTCTCATGTTCCTCTTTTGGAGGCTCCCATTAGGGGACGCCACTGCAGCTCGTTGGTCCGTGGATTTGATTTGGCACACAAACCGGAAGCCCTTCCTGGGATTGGGACCGGCACTGAGAGCGCACTGTTGCATGCAGCCCCAGTGGCTGGGGTTGGTTCCCTGGCTGGGAATCAAACCCAGACCGCAGCGCTGAGAGTGCTGTGGCCTAACCACTAGTCCTCCAGGGGCCCAAACTGCTGCTGCAAGTGTTGATCAGAATCTGTTTGTGTGTTTATTGGCTGCCCTTTGCTGAAAATTAGTCAACAAACAACCTGAGTATATGAAAATACGCACCTTATTGTCCATCAGGGTTCCAAGAACTAAAATAAAGAA